ACAATCATATAATTATTATTATACAATCATATAATAATAATGGAAGTATGTACAAAACACAGTTGTGCCCAGAACACAGCAAAGTATCTGGCATATGACTCCACAGTCTTCATAGTTCCACTCAACCCAGTACTGACTTTCTCTCCTACTTCATGTCCTGTGGGTGTTCCTGAACCCCAGGACCTGTCCTTCCTTACGCTCCTCCATCTGCCATTCTCTTTCCCACATTAACACACTTCCATTTCTCCAGATTATAGCATCTTCTTTTTGTTTTAATTTTTTTTTTTTTTTTAGACAATGCAACCCTTGATTGACCTCACAGATTGCAAGGACCTTGTCAGCTTGTGCTCCCTTATTGTTTTATTTTTTATGCCTACAGCACATGGTCTTCCTAGGTGGTCTCCCATCCAAGTACTAACAAGGCCCGACCCTGCTTAGCTTCTGAGATCAGACGGGATCGGGCTTGTTCAGGGTGGCATGGCCATAGACTCAGATTACAGCATTTTCAAATCCTCTCCATTTAGTTCTCCCGGGAGAAGCCCTTTCCAGCAGCAACCTCAGGCATCCTCCCTTTCACCAACTCAAATACCCTTCATCATATGACTGTATTTGTCTTTTTACATATTTCTTGCTATTTGAATTATTTTGTTTCCATTGTCTGTTTCCCACTGGAATCAAAGCCCAGTGAGGACCAGGGGCATTGTGTTCCTGACCCTTTCAAATAGTAGCCACTTCATAATAGGTTTTCAATTACCATCCATGAGTCATTTAATTGATAAATGTTTTATTGAATAAATACATGAATAAATTACAATGGTGGCTCTCTGTAATTTCTTCATTTACTTATTCAACAAACATTTCTTTCTTTTCCGAAGCATGTCCTCGTGTTTCTGCAGGGGTTCAGCAACACCAGCAATGCCATTACACATTTGAGAAACATAAAAACCCACTTGTGCATTTCCTAACAATGCTAAAGGCTTATCGGACACAGGCTTTTGTGACTCTTCCATTATAAGGTGTGTACCAAAGGCAGCCTGTTCCCGAGATGCAGTTTTCAAAGCTTGAGTATTTTATGAGTCATTGGTCACCTGTATAAATATCACCACTTCGGTTCTGATAGAGAATAATGAAATGCATACTAATTAGTAGCATGGTAAACGGCAGCACCAAGGCATCAACCACTGAGTCCTAACTTTTCATTTTAAAGATACAAGTTTTTGTCACTTTCACTTTCCTAGAACCTCTTATCAAACTGCAGAAACTTCATGTAAAGACGAAGATGTTTACCTTAATAAAAGGACACAAATGAAAAAATTATTCAGCTCCTTCTGTAATTACTTAGCATGCTAAATAGTAGACTAGGGAGAAAGAATGGCTGAGAAATGTTATATTTAAGTTTATTCAAAAATTAGAGATGCTTGGGGGAGGTCTGAAAAAGGTAAACACCAATTTTACACACACACACACACACACACACTTCTACACACACATATAGACATATAGAGCTGCTGAGAGAGATAAATTCAACATATTTACATTTTCCTTTTTTTACATTAAAAAAAATAAACCTATGCCCTGAAGCAAATTAAGGGAGACAATGCCAACTTGATTGTCTTTCCTCCAAACTAGATTGTCTTTTCTCCAGTCTCCTGTGTGGCTTTCAGTAGGTAATCTTTCCTGGGTCAACTTCCTAGACATGATGCCTCCTTCAATTTGCCCGGGATGGCTTTAGTGCTCCCTTAATCTTGACTACATTGTGGAAAGGTTTCTTCCCAACTATAGGTCCCTGATCTCCCTTTTATTAGAGCATCTACTTTGGAAAACTTGCAGTTGTGAATTATTCCTCGCCCCTTTAAGATGTAAATCTTCTATAACCCAGGAATGGCTTTCTCAAGGACCTGGGAGCCATCTCTTTAAAATGTAATCATCAAGACCAATGGGACCCTTGCCTCTGGAACACAGATGGCCTAATCACATTGATAATCCCTGCACCCCCACGGTCCTCCAGTACGTTTCCACTGGCTCATTCCAGAGTTTAAAAATGTTCTTGCCTTTTGTTTTAGTTGAGTTCAATCTTGCTTAACTCCTAGTGCTGCAATTTGCATTTAATATATCACGAGTGTCATTAAAATGTTCATCATATATGAAACCCTGGACAACTCATTTGACTAAAGATGGATTAAGGCTATTTGATGTCTCAGGAATTTGGTCAGGGGTGGGAGGGTTAACCACTTTCCTTGCTCAAGCTTTTAATGAAGAAGCCTTTTTAATGAAGATAACCCACCTTATGGAGTGACTTTCTTTTGGATGATACCTTTAAAGAGATTTTAGGAAGAGGAAAAACTAAGAGTAGAAAAGGTGTGGAAAGTGGTTAGAAATATTCCCTCTGGATTCAGATTTTTAGGCTATATTTATTACACTTTTATCATATTTTCTTATTTGTAAAATAAGGATAAATATAGCATATTTCCCATAAGTCTATTCGATAAAACATCATATATATCAAGTGTTTAGAACAGATGCTGGTAAGGGTTTCATCAATGTTAATTACCACCACTACCATCACCATTATTACTACTGGGTCTGTCACTAAACAGCAGAATGACTTTAAGCCGGTAATTTCCCACTTATGGCATCAATTTCCTATCTGTAAAATGACTAGTTGGACCAGATAGGCCCAAAGACCTATGTTTAAATTTCTCTTTGCAGTCTAATGAAAAGGTCACTAATACACTTAACCAAGAGGACATCTATTGGACTAATGGCTCAGTGCCCTTTAGTGACATCTGTGACATCCAGAAATAAGATAGAGGAAAGAGAACAACAGATAGAAAAGATATGAGAGCCAGAGAAGTAGGGCCATTTCAGAGCATGGGCTCTGGGTCAAGGTGGGTTGTGGAAGCCCAGCTCCACCACTTATTAGCTGGGTCAAGTTATTTAACTCTCTGAAAAAAAAAAAATGAGGGCAATAATATCACCCATTCTACATTAGGCTTGTTAGGAGGATTCATTGCATCCCAGAGCATAGAAAGGAGATGGAGAAAGGAAGAGAAGCAAAAGATCTCCCTTCTAGCCACCTGGCTGGGAGGCTGCCTCATCTAGGGGACCCTGTGAAGAAAACCACAGTCCTGGTTTACTTCCATTTACTATTTGGGCTTATCAAGCCTCTCGGGGGGCGGGGGCGGGGGGGGGAGGAAACACTATGAAATCTAACACCTAGCCATGAGAGAAATATCATCCTCGGACGTGTTCAAAGTTGCTTACAAATGACTTTCTGAATTTGAAGGTCAAGTTGGTAAGATGAGAAATGAAAAACAACTTGCAGCAAAATCAATTAATTCTAGAACTGGGGCAATTGATATTATCTGGACCATCAGTTAGTGTCTGCTTGCCTGTCTCTCTCTCCTTCTCCCCTTCTCTCTCTCTCTCTCATTCTCTCTCTCTCTCTCTCCATCTCATTCTCCCTCCCTCCCTTTACCCTTCCTGTTTGTAATCTCTCTCTGCACAGCATTTATTTTTCCTATCGCCTTTTAAATTGTTTTTTAAATTTTAATTTTCCAGGATGCATACGTAGTACTTCCATATTAACATTAAAGTTTACATTTTTATCATCCACAGATAACACTTAGTGCATCCATCTGAATATCTTTCTATGCAGAAATAATTTCCCCAAATGAGGTCAATTTGTATAAACTGTTTTATCAACCAATAATTCTACCTTTCCATTTCATTAAATTTTCATTCCGTGTAATACTCTGACCATATTTAACTTCCCTAATTGATTACAAAATTGTTCTGTACAGTCATTTGTTCAAACCAACATCCAGTCTATGACGACGCATGGCATCTGCTTGTTATAACTCTTCCACAGTTTTTAATCCGGCAGAATTTTTTTTTTTACGATACACATTTGTGGAAGATTTTCAGAGTCTTTAGACATTGGTAGATTCCTCTTAGTGATCAAGACTTTTAAAGCTGAACTTATAAAGCCTCAATATTAACCATTTTCTTTGTAATGGGTTTTAGCTATTCAAACAGTACCGAAAAACCAAATGGGATGGAAGAGGCTTACACATGATGAAGGTCACTCTACCTAAGGTGAGTGAATGGTCGCTCTACGTGTACCAGAGCTACTTTGAGGAAACAAAATAATAAAGCCTTTGCAGTCTTGCGACCACTATTTTGCTGGCAAACCGCATCCTCCCCCGAAAAGAGCAGACCTGATTGTGCTCATTCTCTACTACAGCCCTGTGCTCTGGTAAGACGCCATGAGCCAGGATGGCCTCTGGCACCGTGGTCCCGAACAACCTCCCCCGAGCAGGAGGACAGCCGTGGGCCAGCGAGGACGAAGCACTCACCGTACACCGCGATGGTCTTGGTGTCTTGCAGGATGGCGTTCCCAGCTGAGACCTGCACTGTAATGGTGTTCATCCCTTCAGATGTAAACTTGAACGATATGCTTCCCTCCAAGGTGATCAAAGGCTAAAATACATGAGGGCACAGTGTGAGGGAAAAGCTCTTCACTTACAGACAAGACAGTGCTAGCTCGAAGCCACCAATGAGCTACTTGAATCAGCGGAGGCCTTTCCTGGTGAACCCCAGTGCAACTGACTCCATCTATATTGCCCCATCATCTCAAGTCCAGGCCAAAAAGGGGCTATCAGAGTCATGACCCCAAGTGACTCTGCCTATTCCTTATGAATTTGACACTTCTCTTCCTGTACCATGCTGATTGAGGGCTGGGAAGATTGATATATCTTCCTTCCTGGTGGGATATATGTCTGTCTTTATGGATCACCAACTCATATCAAGCAGATTCTTTAATTCAAGGAAACATCCAAATCAGGCCCAAACAGAGGGCTCACCTGAATCCAGATTTAAGCAATAGCTACCAGAAATCTACAAGCTGTCAGTTGTTTATCTCCGGGGTGTACTATTTATTATAAATTACAATGAAGCACAGCAACCATGGACACCAGAACCACACTAGCTGGACAAGAGTGGCCTGGTGTGGCTTGGCTTCCTCAGAGAAGCCTTATCAGCAATTTCTTGGAAGCAGCTGCTATGGAAACAAGTACTAATTGGATAGCGGTTTGAGGACTCAAAAAAAAAAATTTTTTTTTTTGGAGTAGTGCCTGTAATATAATCAGATGCTGGGGGCCTGGAGGAAAAGATTATTAGCCTCCTGACCTCCCTCGACTCACTCCCCTCAATCATTTCTTTCTTGTCTTTTCTTAATTAATTTTAAAATCAAAATTCATTTAGCTCCCCGTATGGCAGAGGGAAGACTAAAGCCAGCATAAGAAGTCTACTCGACGCGGTCTGTTGAGAATTTGCTTTTCTGCTAAAAGGTAAATAATAGGAGACACAGAAGGAAGTTGCTTCGTACTTTCACCTTCCAGTATGAGCTTTCAGGTAAATAACACAGATTTCTGCTCTTCCATGGTGAGTAGTAGGGCCAATTTCCGCTGAACTTACATGCGTAGTTTCAGAAGTAAGAAAAGGGGGCTGTAGCTTTTGCCCGATTGGCATCCACCTGCCCCTACTCCTTTTGGGGACCATTCCTCCCCTCTGTTTTTTTTGGTCTGTGTGGTGCTATGGAGGCTGATTTTAACACTTCTCTTTCCACACCCCCGCACTGTGATTGAGGCCTGGCCAATTATACTCCATTCCAGGACTTTCGTTAGAACTTTTGGGAGAGTTTATTTTCTCGGCTAAGTGGTGAGGGTACAAAGCCCGGGCTGCTGCTAAGGGTCACTGTAAAGGACAGTTCAGCTGGAGAAGAACACTAACACAGAGGAAGGCAGATGCAAGTGGTGAGGGAGAAACAGAGACAGAGAAACAGAGAGAGACAGAGAGACCGAGAGAAGAACACACTGAGGAGATTGCTGGTGCACTGAGAGCCTGCTGGGCCCGAAACTAGGACATCGCCGAGACTCCTGAGTTGCACACATCATGTCATTCATTCCTTCTTTGCTTCAGCCCATTTGAGCTGAGCTGCCACCCGGCCCCACGCAGAAGGCCGACCCACCTCCGTGTTGTTTCCGTACCACCACACGTAAGTGAGGGTGCCCACTTGGCTGGGCCACAGCACTGCGGTCGCGTTGACCTCTTTGTTCTTTGTGGTGACAAAGGGAAGAGACAGGTGTACGTGCTCCAAGGGACCTGAGGCACAAGAGAAAGGAGAGGCATGGAGAGGGAAGAGCTTTTTCTCTTCTGCCTTCCTTGCTCTGAAGAGAAGACATATTCATTCTGGAAGCCTCTGAAACACCTCAGTCACACCTCCTGAGGGAAGTGCTCAGGCATTTTCTCTCCTTTGGAGTAAAGGATACATTGGGAATAATTACGTCTCAACATTTTCCATTTACTGACTTTCTTCCAGACCTAAAAACTGAGTTATTTATGTACAAAAGTTTAAAAATGTACAAGTAATTTATGAAGTCCTTAAATGAACAGGTATAATATGAGATTTCACAGGGAGATGGAAAGTCTTTCTGAGAGGTTATATCCTTGGTGGTAAATACCAAGATTGTGAAAATCTCACAGATTTTTAGGGGAGCGTGGAGTTGTTGAACAAAGACACAAACCACTTTACTATTTACTGGTGTTTAAAGGTCTGTGTGAGTGTGTATAAATGTGTGTGTTGGTGAGTGAGAGTGTGCGTGTGTATCTGCACGCTGAGTGTCTGTAAAGCTGCCTGGTTAGGTAAGCATGGAACAAACTGTGTTTGCTTTTAAGCTTGTCCAGGACGAAGGTATCATGAGTAGATAGAGACAGCTCTGTGGTTCTCAGGTTCTCAGGATGTCCTCAAATGAAAAATTAGATGATTTTACCTATGGAGGCCATTAGACCAGGAGGCTTAATCAGATGAACAAACGCACAAAGATATGAATACCCTCTCCATAGAGAACCATGAGGATCTTTCCTATGACCCTGCATCTCCTCTTGGAGTTACTGTTCCCAGGAAGCAAATGCAGTTTCCTCTGGGGTAAACATGACAAAAATCTGTCGTCTCTCCCATTATTCCATGAGGTGGAGAAGAAAGTGGTATCTTGGGCCTTTCCACCTGGTTTAATCATTGCCTCTTCCTCTGTTTGATATTTAAATGCATTTCCTACAGCGTTGTCTTTGGCCTTTTTCTCTCTCCATATCCTCTTCTACGGAGTGATAGCATCTACACCCTGACCTTCAACTATAAGCAACATGCTTAGGGCTCTAAAACCTCTTTCTTGACCCCAGACTCGATTAGCGGCCAAATAGTCCTAAGAAACCCATTATTCCATGCCTCCCCACATTCCGTATTCTTTATATCTTAATGAATAAAATGAAAGTTTATCTAGGAGACTATCCCAGAAGCAGAAAGTCAATCTTGATTCCTTATTTCTTGCCCCCTGCATCCATTTAGGAAACCATTGATTTGGTCTCATAAATATCTCTCAGAGCGCTTCTTACCCTCCCCAGTCCTGCTCTGGTTCATACACTAAGCATTCCTCTCACTTGGACCATTACAGCGGCCTGATCAATTTTACTGCTTCTAACCTATCCTTAAACTGAACCGACTTGCTATTTTATGTGTCCAATGCCTGCCTCCCTCATTAATATATACGTTGTGCCGAGGATCAGCTGTTCCCAGCACCTAGAATGTACAACATATGCTTCAGGGTGACAGGAGAGCAAGTGTACAGACCTTGAGGAGGAAGTGGCTCTCCGTGTTTGAGGAATAGCAAGAAAGCCCAAACGCTGCAGTGGAGAGATGGAGGGAAAGACTGTAAACAAATGAGATCTAAGAGGTATTCAGGGCACACATAGCATGTCAGAGTTGCAGGCCCTGAAATTTATGTATGTGTGCTTCTGTAAGTTTATTCTTGCGTGTATATACATTATACATCCACACACTGTATGGCAGAGTCTTTGTACCTTCTCACTCTCCTAATTATTGTGAGAGTGATTTTTCTAGAAAGCTAAGTTGATGATGCTACTCTGTTGCTGAGAATTAAAATCCTCATTATTTATTTATAATAACAATGATAGTTAAGACATATTGATCTAAAATTTGGGAGAAAGATAACACAGGCTGCAAACATCTAAAGGGTAAGAGTCCTTAATATGCACTTTATATATATAAGGCTAGCAGAGTTTCTGAGACACAGCGCACACTCAAACATTGGCTGGGTAACAAATGATATAATTTCCTGTTTCTGCTTTTGTCCATGCTTCTCTCTCTCTTCATAGGATTAGAAGCTTCATGACTAGCATACAGAATGGAACTGATTTTCTGGCTTATAATCCATATAAGAAGTAGTTGATCATAAGTCAGAATGGTTCGATGAGATACTAAAAGGGCAAAATTTACTGAGTGATGACAATGTGCCACATATTCTCCTAACGACTTTTTATTTTCATTTAATCCTCACATCGACCTTATGAAGCAGGTGCTCCTATCACCCCCAACTAGAGATGAGCAAACAGAGAAAGGTGACCTTCCTCAATTCCAGGATGTGAATCAAAGCAGCTGGATTTCAGAGCCCATACTCTGGACATCTGAAAATGCTCGATAAGACCTTTCCCATTTTAACAAAAGAGCTATTAAAGTCACTACTTACAGATCACTTAAATGTGTTCCGGGCATTGGGAAATACACTTTACCCTGCTATGATTTATTGCATGGCTCATGCTATTCCCCTCTCGTACAGTCTGCTCTGGCAAGCCAGGCCCTGTCCCACCCCGAGGTCGTGGCTTATACACCTTTCTTATGGTACCTGTCAGTCTTCAATTCTCAGTTCCAGGGTCCCCTGCTCTGTGACACTCCTACTGACTCCCCTGATCTGAGTTAACCAAATCAGTTCAAATGTAAGAACTAGATAAGTCCTGCTAGTTCAATTCTAGAAGGGTCCATTTTCTTGGTCTCCTCTCTCACATATGAACACTTAACAATTTTTTTTTAAAGTCAGAACATCAAGGATGATGCCTGTGTGTCCGGTTGACAAAAAAATGAATCTTCTTTCTGAAATATGGTGAAATATGGTCATTCGTTCATTTTGATAGTTTTGTTGGGTGCTACTATGTGTCAGGCATTATTCTGGGTGCTGGGGACACCTGACACTAGGTGGAGCTCTCATATTATTGAGGGGGGCAGGCATGGAACACGTGAAGTAGGGGAAGGTGAGAGAGGATCGTTTTTGATAGAAGGGTCAAGGAAAAGTCTCTCAGAAGGACAGATGACATTTGAGCAATGACCTGAATAAAGTAAAGGACTGCACTAAGAATTTATGTGTGATGCTTCAGAGTGAGGGTAGATCAAGTGCACAGACCTTGAGTAGAAGGTGTGCTTGCCATGTTTGAGGAACAGTTAAGAAAGCCCAAAGTGGAGAGATGGAAAATGTGGACACCAGTGATATCCAAGAGGTATCTAGCACACATAGCGCATCGGCCTTATAGGCTCTCAAGTTTGCATATGAATTCATTCTTGTATATTTATATATTACACACTCATACAAATGAGTGGTATTTATCTTTCAGATTCCCACATCCTCTTTTATTCATTTTCTTTTTATGTGTTTAATATGCCTAGTTCCTGCTGCCCAAAAGCCTGTCCATTGAATATTCTTTTCTATACAGAGGATACAGTTTACCCTAACAGAGCTGCAGAAGTAAACCGCTAGCTCCTGGAGGCCCCCAGCCGGCTGGCTGCATTAAGTCCAGAGCTAAACAAGCCGGCAAATGCAGCATCAGACAGGTGCCTGTGATGCACAAAAAGGACGGCAGGTGGCACTGCATCACTCCATATGAATTCCTGGCAAGGTGGATGAAGGAATTGCAGAATTACTTGTGTAAATCGGGTTTCCCTTCTCTTGTTTAGCTTTCCTGTGCTGCAGGAAACAGCTGATGTCTGTGAGACCGAACATCGTGTGTATGTGCACGTTAAGAGTGTGTGTGTGTGTGTGTGTGTGTGTGTGTGTGTGTGTGTACACATGTGCATACATGAAATAATGGTTCTGGCTTGCCTTTAGAATTCGTTTTGGAGACCTCTGACCACCAAATAAAATATCATGTATTCATTATACTGCTGCTTGTCAAAGATGCTTAAAAATCCACTAGAAGAAATAAAAACAATTCAAAGTAGAAAGATGAGATCATAAAACAGAGTTCCTTAAACTTCAATGTCCACAAGGACCATTCTAACCTGTTCAAAGCAGATTATGACACCACATTACCAGCAGTTCTAATTCAGTAGGTCTGTGATAGGGCCCAGGACACTATACTTTTGTCATGTAATTTTGGGACAGGTGATTCATGAAACCACACTTTACGAAACTGAAGTCTGATATTTACTAGACAATATAATGATCATGTGAAAAGTTGCAAAGCTATACGAGTTCTCAAGAAACTGATCACTTGACTGCAAAATGGGAATAGAAAGTCATCTGCAAATGGTACCTTCGTAAGGAGGTAGTTGAAGAGAGAGATTTGGAAAGGACTAGATGATTGACTTCATTTATTTTTTTTTTTACCTCCCATTCTGAAATTTACACAGTTTTCAGTAATTTTTTTTTCTGTAAGCCTAGATTAGATAGGGCAGCTTTCCAAGCAGAAATCTGCATGTCCTCTAAATCATCTGCCCAATCCAAGGCGACACTGGCTGTACCACGTGTCTCCTTCGTTTGCAAACAATCAGAGCAGAGTGAATACTTACCCCAAGGATTTTCCAACTGTCAGGCTACAACACATATCAGCCAGCTGCCCAGCGAGAGCTGCCAGCTCGCTCCTGGACACGTTACAGGTGACAGCAGGAAATCTCCATTTGTTTCTAATGACCTTTGCAAACCTGTATTAAAAAACCTCTAATTTGGAATCAAATCACCTTTCTGAACTAGAGAGTGGAGGGAGTGTGTTCAAGACAGGCAATGTGGGAGATGCTCAGGCAGTGGGGAGGGGCGTTGAGTGTGAGGGGTGGAGGGCAGGCTTGGCCAGCTGAGGTAAGAGTTGCTGCTCAGAACTCACTACCTACAAGTGTACAGGCTACTTTGTGATGAAGGAAAATCAAGCTTTCCTAGTTGACTGGACACAGCATAGTATGCTCGATAGAATCTTAGAGAAACAAAATGTGCATTCCTCACATGATAAAGAAAAAACAAAAATCTAGGCTCAGAGAAAAGGAGTGACTTGGGCATGAGCTGAGGAAAGCACCTGGACCTCACAACCCCCACGCAGTCCAGGGCCTATTTTTTTTTCTAAAATCCCATCCACCTGTCCGTCCCCATCCTAGCACTACAGTACCAAAAATTACCATGATACCCTTCAAGTTTGAGATTTGGGGAAGTGTGAAACAATTACAACCTTGCTCTGACTTCCTGTTAGTGTAAGCGGAATAGTGTCAAAGTCACAGGGCTTCTCCAGTCCTTGTTTCCTCCATCTGGAAGAATGGGCCAGTGTTGCCAGTTATGGTAGAGATGTCAGGTAAGAAAAGGAGCTGGTGTGTGTAATCATTGCATGACGGGTCTTTTGGGAGAGAGATGCTAAGCCAACATGTCAAAACCTGCTGAAATCACTCATGACATGGATTTTAGATGTACACGAGTTAAGGAAAGTTTTAAACTCTCTCTAGTTAGCACAAAAGAGTTAATTCTTGTATGCAAGGCAAGGCTTAGGGGTTCCATTATATAAGACATGCTTATCCAACCACTTAACCCAAGATGAGTCTAGCAAAATTAAAACAGAACACAAAACCTTCCACTAAGGTTAAGGTCAAATCGTTCAGCCATCAACTAGGCTAAAAAGATGGAAAAAATATATATATTGCAAGTGAATAAAGAAGCTCATTTCTTTTAGAAGCTGTGGCTTCTGCAACTTTTCATCTCGAGCAGAGGTGAGCTCTATGCTGTTTTTCTTCCCAGGATTTATTAAACCAGGGAGAGGAAACCCACAGGGATATGATCATTTTTAGAGGTGAGAAAGAATCCACAGGGCAACCAGGAGGATGAGCTCTATGAGAGACCCTGAAAAACTGAGATGAAAAGCTGCTGCTGAATTTTAAATCAGTATTTACCCATGGTTAGAGTATGGCAGATGTTTCATGCATACATGGGGTATAGAATAAAATTACTTTAATTCTCAAGGAGGGCAGCTCTCTAACAAAATCCCCCTTACAGAACAAGCTGTGGAAAATGACAGGCTGCTAGATAGGCAGTCATCTTCAGCAAACGTATTGTCATTTGTGTTGCAAGTTATTTTTACTATTAATAACCAATACTTGTGATGTATTTTTGACAGTTTTATGATTGTTTCTACAATACTATCAGTTGAGATTATTAGTAAGATGCATCTTCAGAGAAGTCTATATAGGACAGCTTGAGGGTGGCAGGCAGCGGGAAGGAAGGGTGCCTATGAAATGTGTCTTGAACCTATGCAGTTGTGTAGCAAACACACTGCTTCTAACTTAAATGTTCGTGTTCCTTCAGGATGATCTATAAAGTGGAGGTGGATATAGACTACTGGAGACTTGGTTTTTCTAACTCAAAGCCACTGTCGGCACCTACAATAACCTTAGTAATCAAGAGCTGGGACGTGAGATAGGTAGACCTCAGTCTGAGACCTGGCTCCACCAGGTAGTAGATGTGCAACTTCAAACAGGTTCTTCAAGCTCTCGGAGCCTCACTATTCTCTGAAAGTGGAATATCTAATAGTGCCTACTTTATAGGGTTTTTCAGAGGAGTCAAATCATACACATAAAGAGTTTGCTTAGCACAAAGGCTTGCACACAGTAGGAATTAAAGAAACAAACACTTTAGCTAAAAAGAGGGAGGTGGAACTGGCAAACTGGGGATCTTGTAAAATTTTGTTTAAACTCAGAGAAGATAGGGTGTTTTGTCAAACTGCCTCTGTCACAAGGAGGCAGATAAAGATCAAGAATTGCTGATACAGCAGGATTCTTCATGAGTTAAATGAGATAAAGATCAAGATCAAGAATTGCTCTTGATAAAGAGATAAAGATCAAGAATTGCTGATACAGCAGGATTCTTCATGAGTTAAACGATGTCCTGGGGATCCCTAAATAGTGGTGGCCTCCCATCGGACCACAGAAGCTGAAAAAAGATTCTCGTTAGTATGTTCTGTGCTCAATTTGGTCCAATGGGCAAGGGGCAGGTGAGAGGCATGGGATACTGCTCAGCCACAACACTCTTGGTCTAGAACTTGACATTAATTTGAATAAGGCCACTCATATAAAGGTGTTACATTGTTTTAAAATAAATCACTTCTCTAGCAACCTCAGCTAGTCCTGTGCCTAATTAGAAAGACACACACACCTACCATAAGAGGCGTTCATGGTGCCGTTTTTACTAAACATAACTTAGGAGTTATCATAACACACCTCTAGATTCCTCAGTGGGGGAAAAGCTTGAACACTTCTTGGAACTGTGCAACTTCCTTAACATGGTTCACACGCTTTCCCTCTATATCGCCTTCTCTCTGACAACAAATCATTCCCATATAAAGCCTAGGAAACACACTAGATTAAAAAAAAAGAAAGCAAAGATCTAAAAGAATATTAATAGTGAGACATAATATGGGAGAATGATAGGATTGGGAGAAATTGCTTTACTTGTGCTAATTCTCAGTACATTAGATTGGCCCGCACAAGTGGCTTTTTTCTGAACATTTCTGAGCAAATAAGTAAATAAATAAAATCCATCAGAAAGTGACACATTCATATTCAGTCAAATAGCTCAGAAAGTTGCTCAGACCTAGCCCCCAGACACAGGTGTTTTATCCTGGGCATCTGGAAGAGGCATAGTAAGGGCAATGAGAATAATTTGAAGAAAACCAGAATCCAGGATTATTCGAGTTTTACCCCCTGATTTCTTCCTTCCTCCCCACTTGGCTCTCTTTTTCTTCTTTCCCCTTCTGCTAAATAGTAACATTCTTCCCGATATAAAATTTTGGATTACATTTTAAAAGGACACAATATTTAAATCACGTCATAAATCAACAGCAGTAATAACATACAAGTTACATGTAAGTACAGGACGGCGTTGTCAGACCCAAGACTGTTGTCCACCTGCACGGTCACTCGGAAAATGCCCACATTGTGATAGACGTGTTTGATCCCATCTTCCATGGAGCTGAGGTTGACATAAGACACTGCGATGCCATCACCGAAGTCCACTTGAATGAATGTCCTCTGAACGTCACCCTGAAAAACAGCCCAACATCAGAGGAAAGGGAATCTATGCTTGGCTGCTTCTATGTTAGGGGCTAGGGCATGTCCTGGTGTCTGGCTCAGGGAAAGTAGCAGCCCTGGCTCACTGCTGCAGCTGGGACAATCTGTCTATGTTTGACTGAATCTCTGTGACATTCCTTGGCAGACAGGCATTTACTAAGATGGATGTTCTCCAAATCTGAAGGGTACCAACTACTCAAAGTTTCCAGGTTTGGAAAATTAAGTGTTTGATTATCAGCTCCAATTTTATATTCAGTTCTTCTGAAGACTTTGTTTATAGTCTTATCCACGTGAAAAAAAAATGTGCACACACAGTTTTACAGATTTCACCTATGTGACATGGTTACAGGCCACTTCCCATGTGTTCAGGACCCCTGAGTCTCTTTCTTTATTTCTGGTTCCCTAACCATGCTGGAGGAAGGACAAGAGACACCTTGCCTTACACCTGATATGACACTAGACTCAACCCTATTATCATCTAAGAGAATGATGGTTAATTCCTTTACACGTCAGCATTTTTTACTATCAAAATGATCTAATTTTATTCTTCGTAGTATTGTAATCTGGAGAGAGAAGCAGGCAATGTTCATCCATCTTACAGATGAGGAAGCTACAGTCAGGGATGGTTTAATCATTCGCTCAAGGTTAACAAAGCTAGTTAGCAGTAGCCCTGGAATTCGATTCCATCTCTCTGGGTTGCGTTTCATTCATTGTACGCGGGTAAAGCATTGATGGCTCCTCCAGGATTGAATCCTAGTGTGCCTTTCACAAGTTAGATAATTTCATGCATGCCATTCAGCCTCCTTTGGTCTCAGTTACGTAAACTATGAAGTGGGCTCAATACCTTCCTCTCTTTTTTTAAATTTAATTTTATTATTAGTTTTAAGTATACAATACATTGGTTAGAAATTTATGTAGTTTATAAAACGATCTACCTGATTGCTCTTTCTCTCCTCTATCTCTTACATTAATGCTAGCCATTACACTAATGCTAACTGCATTCCCTATGCTGTATCTTCCTGCCTTAATACACGGTTGTTATAAAAGACATGTGAGTAATTTGTAATCTGTAAAATTCTATACCAAAACAAAGGACTGTAAAAGCAGTGCAACTGTGGAAGGCCTGCAATACCCCTTTCCGAGTTTGATTAGAATCACGGGATTCCAAATTTCCCACAGATAGGAATGAGGAGATAAAGTCTGATTTATAAAATCCAAGACCTGTAAAAAAAAAAAAAAAAGAAGTTTTCGGAATAACAGTTAAGACTCTTAAGGAACAGTTTCTCAGACCCAACTGACAAAAACTAGCTTCCCTCACACACAGTCTCTACATTTTTTATTTGTTTTGTTAGCTTTTCCATTTTCGGGGAGTGGGGAGCAACTTCGAAGTAGAAATGTATTTTCGATTAAGTAAGGTTCATATGGTATCATATTTTTTGAAAAGGCCAAGTTTAAAATGCTGACATTTAAAAGATTAATTCACATAGAAAAGAAAGGCAGTTCAAATCCTATGAATCTATATGACTTATTCTGCTGATCTATGCCCAGTCAAGCATTGTGTGGGGGGCACATGGCAGCTCTCAGTAAGGACGTGGGCAAAAATTCTCCCCAAGGGTGGGAAAAAGAAACTCCATTCAAAACTATAAAACAAATATCCACAAGCCTAGAGACTGTGCACTTACTTGAATTCCCTTCACTAATAAATATAAATGTCAACCATTCTTGCTGATTTGGCCTTCATTTGGACAACCAACTTGAACTGATCAATTTCTCATTCCGTTTCTGGTCAGTTTCAGCTCCCATGTTTTCTGGATTTTCAACAGAGTTGCTGCCAATCAATCCTAGGTTTGGGCATGGAGGAAGAGCCCACTTTTTAATCTATTCATATGATTTGGGACGAGTGTCTCAGGGAAATATCAGGAGTACATAACATTAACTGCAGAATAAAACATGCAATGTAGTTTGAGAGAGAGGGACAGAGAGGTTTAGGGTTTTTTTTTGTGGGGACAGAGTAGATATCAGGTAGGGGTCACCATTTGCAAGAGGACAGAGGGTTAGACCTCTGTCATGCTGATCTTTTTGCCTGATAGCATTCCTAATTTTCTTTTTATTTTATTTATTTTTCATTTTTAAATTAAAAATTATTGTGGTGACATTAACAAAATCAAATAAGTTGCAAGTGTATCATTCAACATAATTTGCATATATAAGACATTGTATGTTCAATCTAATTTTCCACTCATGAGGAACTAAGTCTATAACAGGTGAAAGGAGAAAACTATACAGTGTCTGGACTCTTCATTAGTAGAGATGCCATTATAGAGTAATCAGGCTTTTAGAGTGTTAGGTCAGGTAGCTTACTGCACACCTGAGAGCCCTGGTGGGCAAAGGCATGGAATGCCACAATCACATGTGAGGTGCCCAGGGCCTTCTGATGTGGGTGCAGGTCTCTGGGCTTGGTGCTCTGCACCAGGAGACAAGAGCATCAAGGTTCCAAGTCTGACAGCTAAAGGCAGCAGATTTCATCCCTGCTGCTGTAGCTTTGCCCACTCAAGTGGAACAAAGTGGGTCCTAGGCCTTTGCCTTCAGGGGTTCTCAGGCAATCGGCAAGCCTAATATCCCTGTAACTTCATCACATTGGGATTGAACTTTCATCAGCCTCTGACTTCCCTGGGCTGTAATTAATGTCTGAGGCAGAGATGCTAACTCCTTTCAGAATATAAGGAATGGGACAAAGGAAAGAGACCTGAAGTCACTATTTGATTAGGTATGCTTGCCTGACTTTAAATAGCTTTCTCTCTTGTCATTCAACCAACCAACCAATGAACCAACCAACCAACCAACCAACCAACCAACCAACCAACCAGCAGATAGTTCTTGAGTATCTATCTTGTTTCAGGCACTAAATGGGAAAATGTTGATAAGAAATAAATTGATCAATCAAAGGATATGAGAGAGTTCGATGGAGGTAAGGAGCCCAGGCAATGGGGACAGTGGGAACAGATATGCAAGGGCCATGAGCCAGAAGTGGGTGGTACAGTTAGAGAAGGCTAAAGCTACAAGCACAGTAGGACCATGTTATAAAATGAGATTGGAGGGGAGTAAATTACATTTTAGAACTTGTAGGCTCTGTTTCTGATTTTCATCTTTCTCCTGTGAGCAATGGAAAGCCTTAAAGTGTTTTAAGCAAGGATTTGGGAGAAGATGGCAAGATGATATTTTTAATTCAAAAAGATCATTCTGCCTACAATATGGGAGACGAACTGGAAGGAGGACCAGTATTCTAAGAAGCCAATTAGGGTGTAGGTCAGGTGGATTCTGATAGATTGAAATATGATTTGCAATAGGAAATTACATGCACCTTCCTGTCAAAATCAACTTCCATAATTTATTGGTTTTTAAATCAGTGAATCTCAGCTTTTGATATCAGCAGCTCAGAAGTTAAAAGAAAAAGTACTGATGCCCAGCTACCACCCAAGACCTACCTCCTGGCTCAAGGCCTCTGGGGAGGATGCTCGGCCCTGCTGTGGTCTGAAAAGTCCACAGCTGATGCTGGGCTGAACCAAAGATTGAAAGGCCCCTGGGTTCAGATTCTTGAACATTAGCTTCTCATGGAATTCATCTGAAGGAGACTATAGTACAGTACAAGCTCATGCTGTTCTTATTTAATTTTGCTATGATGGCAAAGTTTTTCCAGAATGTTTTAAAATTCTAAGTGCTAAGGGTGCATTAATAAAGCCAGGGATGAAAGAATTGAAGTCACTCTTAGTGACTGGTGTATAAGACATGCTAACTTCCATGAGACATGCTAACTTCTCTAGGAAGATGAGTTGTTGGTAGTATGAGGATAGATTGTGTGAATTTCTGAGGGTGGAGATGTGCCTTTAAATACCATACTCAGTGCTTGCAGATGATTCTTTTTTGTTCAATAGATTTTGAATATTATGCATTTCTAATGTGTTTGTTCATCCAAGTGCTTTCTTATGTATTACCTTGTTTGGCTGTTAGGACTCCTGGGAGATAGTGAGGGCAGACATCATTTCTATTCTAAATCTATTCATCATTTCTAAATATACCTGAAGGACTGGGGCACAGACAAGTTAAATAAGATTCCTAAAGCTCACAGCCTGTGAGTGACTTAAGAAAGGGTTTAAGACTATCTATGGTTTAACTTTTATCCATGCAGCACAGTCCTTGCTGAGCTTCTTTAATTGAAAGTTGCTTGTAATCCCTTTCAGAGTGAGAGAAAGGTGATGACAGACAGGGCATCACCTTCTCTTCTTGTTAGACTCTATCCCTGGCTTTGACTGTTTTCCCTTCTGACAACATCTTTGCTTACAGGTGGAAAGATGGGCTGTCATAAACTCCATATACCTTTTTTTTTTTGAGTATTTTTTAAAGAGTTTATTTGAATCATACAGATGAGAATGTCTGGGAAGCCAGATCTCAAATGCTCTCCCCATACATCATTCCTATTTCTTCCCTTTGGTGAAGCAATATCATGTTCAAGCCAAAAAGAAGACAGAGAATAGGGGAAACAATAAGCATTCGGAATTAGTAGTCAAGACAACCTTGTGTGTAATTGAGAGTTACTTCGATCTAATAAATCACACATCATCATTCCCAAAACAGAACCTAGGCTGGACTATCATATAAAATATCTAGACTATCGTATAAAATTCTTTAGACCTAATGCCATTTAGTCACATGCCCTAATATAGATACAGAACTGAGAATACTAGCTCAAAAGAAGTACCCAGGAAAAGCACAAAAGCCAAATGAAATCCATTTGGGGATTCTGCAAGGGCATCACTGACTCTGTAATAGAAAAACAAATATATCAAATGGCCACAATGAAGCCAAGATTAACCGGAGGAATGAAAGGTGTGTGAACCTATCAGTTCCTGTAACACGGCTTTGGAGAAAAATGGGAAAATAAATGCTGCAGTAACTCAACACTGACAGCCTCAACC